AAAAAAACCTCAAAAACAAAAGCCGATGGTAAGGATGTGAAGAAAAGGAAATCTTTTTACACTGTTGGTGGAAATGTAAATTAGTGTAGCCATTATGGAAAACAGTGTGGAGGTTTCTCAAAAGATGAAAAATAGAATTATTTGATTCAGTAATCCCACTTCTGGGAGTATATCCAAAGGAAATAAAATCACTACTTCAAAGAGATATCTGCATTCTCATCACATGTTCATTACAGCACTGTTCACAATAGCCAAGATATCGAAACAACCTAAATGTCTATCAGTCAGATGAATGGATAAAATGTGTGTATGTATATATACACACACAGCACAATCAGTGGAGTATTATTCAGCCTTTAAAAAAAGAAGGAAATCCCATCACTTGCAATAACATGGGTGTATCTGGAGGACATTATGATAAGTGAAATAAACCAGACACAGGACGGATACTCCATGATCCCACTTTTATGAGGAGTTTAAAATAGTGAAGCTTGTAGAACTAGATAGTAGAATAGTGGTTATCTAGGACTGGGGAGAGGAGCAAATGAGGAGGTGCAGTCAAAAGATGCAAAGTTTTAGTCATGCAAGATAAGGTCTGGAGATCTCCTGTGTAACAGAGCCTATAGTTAGCAATACTGTATTGTGTACTTAGAATGTTGCTAAGGGAATAGGTCTTACGTTAAGTGCTCTTACCACAAAAGAAAAAAATTACTTTTCAAAGATTTTGAGGGGTTTGGGTACAGTGGCTCACGCCTGTAATTCCAGCACTTTGGGAAGCCAAGGCAGGAAGATCGCTTGAGCCCAGGAGTTTGAGACCAGCTTGGGGAGCATAGTAGGACCTTGTCTCTACTAAAAATTAAAAAAATAGCGAGGGGCATGGTGGCATGTGCCTGTGGTCCCAGCTACTCAGGAGGCTGAGGCGGGAGGATTATTTGAGCCCAGGAAGTCAAGGCTGCAGTGAGCCGTGATCACGCCACTGCGCTCTGGCCTGGGCAAGAGACTCTATCTCAAAAACAATTGTTTTTTTTAATGAATAAAGAGGGCACAAGGAAAATCTTTTGGAGATTTTAAGATTCATTTATGTAGACTTTTCAGTCTTGAAAAAAGATATGTAAGTCCCAAATATAAAGAAGATACATTTGACCAGGAAGATTTATTAACAGCTATGGATCTACATGTGCCATATCATGTTCTTCAGTGTCATTTCATGTTTTTGTCCAGCGATTCACAGAGGACTAGATTTTAGATTGCTTTTCCTCTCCCACAGCTGACAAGGCTTTAATCAGGGCATTAAGGAGTTCTAAATAGGTCTTGCTTTTGAATCTGCATATCAGGAGGGGGCTGGGAGCATGAGCGGGAGGATGTCATGTCTCAGTGATTAATGATCTCTAGGAAGCTGAAAAGGGGAGTGTAATATACACAGTATTTCTACCCCCTGGAGTAGGAATGCAAACACTATTGTGCAGATCTGTGCATAGTCACTGACTTCCTGGTAGCTGGAGAATTTCATACACTCTTCTACCACAAATAAAACTGTCAGAGAAGTGACAGAGCTCAAAAAGCTGGCCTTCCTTACTTAAAAAGAATAGCTCAAACACAGTGAGCCAGAAAATTAATTTTGTAGTTGTTTGGAAACCGAGTTGTTAAATAAAAAGTAAGAAAATGGGAACTTTTCTTGAAAAGCCTAAAACCTCCAAATATTTGTTGAATCAAACTCTACATTTGGTTTCTTCAATTTACTGAATTCCTGGGAACTGCTTACTTTAAACGAATTTAAAGGGGAAACATTCCTTTGTAATGAAATGACCCATCTTAAACTTTTCAATCTGGTCTCTGGTAGGTTCAGAAAATCATACGGTCTGTGGACTCAAGAGCCTATTGCCTGATGTTTAGGGAAAAAATCGTAACATTTCAGAATGGCTTGTATACAGTTTTTGAAAATAATTCTAAGGTAGAGTTATTTCCCCCCTTTTATTCTCAATGAATCTATGGTATTATTTAGTAACAATTTCCAAATGCTTAAGATAGAAGCGAAACATTCTGAGCTATAGGTAAGATAAACTACAGATATTTGCAAAAAAGTTTTAAGAGAAAGTTTTTGGGGAAAGCATTGTATTTCAGCCACCTTTGAGTATTTACAAATAACCAAATATAGAGAATTTGTGCATAACACCAATAGCAGCAGCAGTATTTGGTTTTAGTGAGGACAACCAAATAACTTGTATTTTACTAGGAACCATTTATTCATAGGACTTGTTAAATTATTTTTTGCTCTTCATTCAGTTTTTTGATGCCCTATACATTACCACCTTCTGTTCTGCATTGTCTAACTTTTAAACTGATTTCTTACCAGTTTTTATTTTTCCATAATATAAAAAGAAAGGAAATACTCATTCTTGGGGAAGTGGAGCACAGTTCAGGGTAAAGGAAAGAAAAATTTTTGTATTTCTATTTCTTTGTTTTTCTGTTTGTTTTGCTTTATTTTTTAGGGTGTCGCTATAAAGTAAAAGGAGCTACTGGTCTAAATTAAGATAGTATCAGATAGATTAAGCTCTAAATTTGGTTTCCAAGTGGTTAGACTTTTAAATTGCATTTGCAGGAGTTTATTTTTAGTCAGGATATGGTTATTTTTAGGTCTGCTTCTCTGTCACTAGGAAATGAAATGCCTGTCTTTCCATTGTTGATCAGGAAGTTCTAAGGCATAGGCATATAAGAGCCAGTTAACCCAGAACACCACCACTCCTTTTAGATGAAAGAATATGAAATAATTCATGGAAGAAAGTATGTTTGTTGAGAACATATCTAATTTTGAAATTGTTAGTGTCATTTTAATCTTTTGTACGTTGAACAACAGAACAAGGTTTTTAGGGAATGCCAAAAATACAAGGTTTGGGTTCCCCCTACTGGCGTGCATCCCAGGCTCGTGTATTCATTAATACACAGCTGAGAGGCCTAGGGGCTAGAGATTAGAAATAGCTATATTAACTTCATTTAGAGACCTGATGATGAGAAAGAGAGAAAAAATTCCATTTCCCCTTTTCTGCATATGTCTTACAAAAAATGGGATGATTTTAAAATTGTACTTTCTACATTTAGAAAGAATAAAACTTAATTCTACAATATTTGGTTTTAATGTTGCTACTGATAAGCTGCTTATTTGCAGTGCTTCTCAAATGCTTTATGTTGTAATCTAAGGAATAATAAAACACCAGTGGATCCACAAAAGGATTTAAAACCCCAGGGAAGAAATGCAAAGCTAGCATTGTTGCCATAATAAAATTAAAGAGCTGGCATTAAAGCTCACTAATTCCTATTTTAGCATTTCAGAAAGGGACATGACATCATGTGATTGTGTCTGTCTATTTAACATTTGTTTTTTCTAATTTGTACAACATATATTTGAAACAGTTTTTTATTTCCTATCTTGTAGTAAGTGCCAAGTAATATTAATGGCTCATTTTGGAAAAGAAATATTTTAATTGACTCTTAGAAGTCACTTTTGAACTTCTTATTATGTTTGCATTGTAAAGGACTATTCAGTCAAGTTAAAATATTGTATTTTTTTAATTGCTTTTCAGCAATGCAGTCAACCTTTTAAGCAATGTTCCGGTCTCTTGTTTGGATGTTCTCATTTGTCCATTAACCCATGAAGAAACAGCCCAAGAGGCAACGACTCTAGATGAACTGCCCAGTAATAAAACAGCTGAGAAAGAAACAGTTTTGAAAAACAATACCATGGTATACAATGGTATGAATATGGAGGCCATTCATGTTTTACTCAATTTTATGGAGAAGAGAATAGACAAGGTAAGGCTGATAAAATGTAAGCCCTGGGAAGATGCTTCCAAAAAATGTAAATGTGCCATACATACAGACACACATCACAGAGCATGATTTTTAAATCTAAGCTTTTTTGAAACTGATATGTTGCATAATTGTTTTTACTTTGGAAAGCAGTTTATTACAATACATGATAAATTGCTGAAGCCATGTTAATTTATTTGTTCAATGCTGAAAATTATGTTCATGCAGCACCAAAATTATGACTAGTGCTTGAAAACAAAGGAAAAATTAATTACTCTTCCGTGTTGTTACTTTGTGAGTCCTAGAAATAAAAAATATTCCCCCAAAAACTTGCTAAATATTCTTCATAATACCTAAAAGACATCTTCCAAAAAAAAAAAGAAGAAGACCTTGTCAATTTTCCATTTGTTGTGAGCTGCTTACATTCTCTGGTCTATCACTCACTTTGTCAGGTATCTATATTAAAAGGCAGCAAAGTAGCATAGGCGAGTCACCAAAATTTTGCTTCATTCAAGCCCATTGGCTGAGCCCATGGGAATCCTAGAAAATGTAGGAACATCCAGGAGGGACCAAAAAAGGCAATAGTAAACAGGAAGATGATAAAATGGAAATGTTGTTAGGAAAAGAATTATTAAAATAGCTTGTAAGCTTCGGTAACATAAGATGTCCCCACCTCGCGGATCACGAGGTCAGGAGATCGAGACCATCCTGGCTAACACAGTGAAACCCCATCTCTACTAAAAGTACAAAAAATTAGCTGGGTGCGGTGGCGGGCGCCTGTAGTCCCAGCTACTCGGGAGGCTGAGGCAGGAAAATGGCATGAACCCGGGGGGGCAGAGCTTGCAGTGAGCCGAGATCGCGCCACTGCACTCCAGCCTGGGCCACAGAGCGAGACTCCATCTCAAAAAAAAAGGCCCCACCTCAAGAACAAATTAATATCCTCAGTTACATGAAGGAAAGTAATACTGTTAGAAACAAAACTAATGTATTTCAAAAACATACGGTTTTTTTTTATAGGGAAGCAGCTATAGAGAGGGTCTAACTCCAGTTCTCAGCTTATTAACCGAATGTTCCCGAGCCCATCGAAACATCCGAAAATTTCTCAAAGATCAGGTAACTGCTTAATACATATTACATTGCAAAGTTAGTCTTTTTATGTGCATTTTAAACATAGAATTAATTGAATTCTCTCACAATGATTTTGTTTCAGATAATCAGAAACTCAAGTTAGTTTTAATCTTTGAAATCTTCTTAATCAAGAAGTGTGTATTTTTTGAGTCATTCATTCAACAAACGCTACTGAGATGTGCTGTGTGCTGTGTTTTGGGCATTGAACAACAGATGAAGTCTTTCCCCTTGGGGAGTTTATTTCATAGAGAGGGGGACAAAAAGTAAACAAATATAAAATATAATGGCAGGTGTTGATAAGCGTTCTGAAGAAAGATAAAGCATTTTAAGAGAAAGGAGACACTTTAAGGGAACAAGGGAGGACCTCTCTGAAATGACATTTGAACAGAAAGGTGGAGAAGTAAGAGTATCTCTGAGAATGTTTGGAAAGGAATGTCCCTGAGAGAACAAGTTCACAACCCCTGAGACAAGAGGATGCTTTGGTATACTTAAGGAAAAGCAAGAAGGCCAGTGTGCCTAGGCCACAATATGCAAGGGGTGAGTGGTAGATGAAGTGAGGTAACAAGAGCCAGGTACAGCAGGCAGTGTAGGACTTTTCATTCTCTTCTAGGTGAGGTGAGAAGATATTGGAGGGTTTTAAGAGGGGAAGTGATGTGACCTTATTTATGCTTAAAGACATCCTGGCTACTATTTGTAGGATTGACATAGTGGAGCACAAATGGATGCCAGGAGACAAGTCCAAAAGATAACTGATGTTGCAAGTTTGGAGTAGGATGGTAGTGGTTAGAGTTCATACTTGGGAATATGTTTTAATATTTTAATATGTCTTAAAAGTAGCTCACAGACCTTGCTGATAGATTGGAATATGGGTTGAAAAAGAAAAAATAAGGGTGATTTTTAAACTTTCAGATTATACTTTAGACTACAAGTGTAAGACTTTGATTGTAACAATACCTGAAACTAGCCTCCTCTAAAATCCCAATTTCAAGCACCTTCTCTTAGTTAGTACCCTCAATCCAACATTCTTTCATCCTCTGAGGATTGTCAGTCTGTCAGTTTTTTCCACTGTTCTTCACTCACTTGTGTCTTCTCTCCTTACCCAGGCTAGATTCCACTTGAGGTTGATTACTATAATCCCTTCTTTCCATACATCTCTAACGAGCACCTTGTGTGCTCCCTCAGTCATACTCACCTGGCAAAACCTAACAAACTGGCTAACTCCAGCTTTCTGCCTACTCTGGGTCTCCACCAAGCACTTGAACGTGATAAGAGAAAAATGATACAACTATTTTGACTACTCTACTTTAAATTTAAGACCACCAGCCCCAATCGATTCCTTAGCAAACTCCAAGATGACTATTTCACAGCTCCTTTTTCTTCACACCTCCAATGCTTACTACTCTCTCCTCACTCTCATTTCTTGACTTTGTTTCCTATTTCACCATGAAATTAAGAAAAATACTTTATCTTTCCACCATTGCATCTGCTGTCTACATCTATACTGCCATATCCCTTGTATTCCAATCTGTCACAATGGATGAATCATTCCTACTTCTGTCTGTGGCCAGCATTTGTCCTGGATCTCTTTCCCTCTCATGAACTTTGCACCTGCATTTATTTCTCCTCTCTCTTCTTATATTAATCATTTTTTTAAATGTATTGGATCATTTAAGTCAGAACGCAAACACATCTTTCATCTTAAAAACAAAAACACCTTCCCTTATCCCACTTCTCAAGCTGGCTTTCTATTTCTGTGCTCCTCTTTATGCAGTGTTCCTCAGAAGGTTTTCCATACTCTCACTCTCTCTATTCTTTTTACTCATTTTTGACTCCTAAACCCTCTGTAATTAGGCTACATGCCTTCCGCCCCACTGCGAAGGTGTTTATCAGAGTCACCAACTCAACACTGCCAAATCTAATAGTTCTCAAATCTTTTTTAAATTATCCAATAAAATTTGATGTAAGTATTGCCTCCTCCTTGAAATACTTTCTTCACTTGGTTTCTGGGACACAATAGAGAACCTGTTTGTGATCATCCTCGTTTTCCTGACCCTAAATGTTTGAGTGCCCCAAGGCAATACTATCTTGTCTCTATCTCTGCTGCCAGGATGATCTCATTCAAGAGTCATCCATATATGCTGATGACTCTCAAATTTGTATCTCCAGCCCTGACCTGTCACATAAGCTCTAGACTTACACAATGAACTGCCACTCATCTCCTCCCCTTGGATGCGTAGTAGGTATCTCAGGTTTAACATACCTCAAACTAATATCTTGATTTTCATTCCTCCAACCTATTTCTTCTCCTTCTTTTCACATTTCAATACATGGTACCACCATTCACCCAATTGTTCATTTGTCCTAATAAATGAACCAGGTTCATTTTTTCCCTCTGTATTTATGGTCAAGATTTAGTAAGCACCTTACTCTATCTAGAACACACTAATAGGTAGTGCTGATAAGGAGAGATTAGAAAATAGAGACCATCTTTGAGGAATTTACAGTCTGTTGAAAGAAGAGAGATACCCAAAAAGCATGAATAATGATTTAAGCAAGATTAATTAATTAAGGTCATTTCCACATTTGATTATTTTGAGACATTCTCCCTTGACTAGGAGGAGTTGGTGAAGCACAGTAAATGAAAATACTTTTTTTCTGTATTTTTGCTTTTTTCTGTAGGGGATCCAGGTACACCTAAACTGTTTATATTTTGCTATCTCTAAAGAGAATAGCAAAAAAAGAAAAAACCTATTCGTTAAATAGCCTCTTAATATGAAGGCCTTGGGCCACATATTGTGTCCTTATAAAAGATTATGTGACCCACTGTCTGTCTTCAAGAAACATGACAGTAGAGGTAAGGAGATGAAACATGACAGGTGAAATAACCAAAGATACAAGGCATAATACAGAAATCAACTTTCCTTCTGAAGAGGATGCACTGTAGACTGTTACGATCAAGAAAGGCAGAATTTAAAGTACAGATGATTAACTCTGATAATAATGTAAGTGGAACCTTGGTTTCTTATTATGCCCTGTAGTGAATACCTGGTTAAATCCAACTCATGCATACCCAAAGGAAATTGGTCTATATTCTGTATTTGGGAGGTAGAAAAGAAAACAAGTGGTAGAAATTACTGACCTAGGTTATATTATTCTGGAGAGGCTTATAGAAGCAGTGAGTATTTGGGGGATTTGAAAAAGAAACTGGACAAGATTTGTCAAAGAAAAAATTTGTTGGAGGTAAGTATTCTGGGGGGAAATACATATGCAGTTTGGGAGTGGTATTTAACAATAACAACAAAATGTTGTTAAAAATTTGTTTTAAGGAACCAGAAACGTAGCTAACAAAATTTTTACGTGATAATCTTTGTTCATAGATTTTGTACTCTAGGTACTATAGGCATATACTACATGAAATCATTTGTTACATGTTTCATTCTTCTAGAAATGGGAGATGTACTAAGTATGGTTCAATAATGGTTCACAGTAGTAAGAATTTATTGTGTAATTACTTTGTGCCTAGTATTTTGTTCTACCTAGCCAGAGACTGAAATGTGGATTCCATAAACACTTTGGATAGGTTACTCAATTTTCTGAGATTTAGTTTCCATTTTTGTTTATAGCTGTCTCCCCTGCCTCTGATATCTCCTGGTACATGGTAGCTACTTGATATAGAAAGAGAGAGAGGGAAGAAAGTCATTTGAGTGGATCAAGTAAAATTATATATACATAAAGGGTCTGGGATATAATAGGTGCACAGTAAGTTCCTATTTGACTTTGTGTCTGCCCTCATTTCTTAGCACAGGTCCTAGCTTATATAATAGAAGGCACTTAATAAAAGCTACTTGAATTAATTCATTTTTCCTTCAACCAGCAAATATTCATTAAACACCTGTAATATGCTAGACACTGGGAAGAGAGCAGTAAACAAAACAAAGAAATCTCTGCCCCAGTGGAACTTGGTCTTGTGGAAGGAGGCAGACAAGTAAACAGATAATTATATGCTATGTCTGGTGGTGATAAGTGCTATGAGGAAGGTTATGGCAGAGGAAGGAGGTGGAGGTGTTACAAAAAGAGAGTGCTAAAGGTTAGTGATATAGCGTGGTCAGGGAATGTCTCCTATAAGTGACATTTCGGCAAACACCTGAGGGAAGTAAGGAGAGAGCCATGCAAGTTTCTAGAAAAAGAGTTTCTGGGCAGAAAGAGAAGCAAATGCAAAAGACCTGAGGCAGGAAAGTACTTGGCATGTTTAAGAAGGTCCATGGAGGTCTGTGTGTCTGTAACAGCATAGGCAGGGAGAATAGTAGAAATGAAGTCGAAGAAGTAGCAGGAAGCCAGATTATGTGGAATCCTGTAAGGAAGTTGTAAGGACCTTGCCTTTTACTGTGAGATGAGAAGCCATGGGAACTGGAGAACTTTGAGGAGTGACATGATCTGACTTTCAAAGGATCATCCTAGCTGCTATGTAGAAAATGAATTAGAGAGTGACCAGCATGGAAGCAGAGACCACTTACAAGGCTTTGATATTAGTCCAGAGAGAAATATTGGTACCTTGGACTTGGTAATACTGGAGGAGGTGGGGAGAAGTGGTTGGATTGTGGGTATATTTCAGAGGTGGAGCTGACATAATATGCTGATGGATGGATATTAAAGAGAGGAGTCAAGGATATTTCCAAGGTTTTTGTACTAAGCAATTGGGAGAATGGACTTACCATTTAATGAGATGGAAAACTGCATGAGGAACAGGTTTGTTGGGAACTTCAAGAGTCCTGTATAGGAACTGCTAAGTTTTAGAGGTCTATAAAAGCCTGGAGGTCAGAAACAGAGTAGAATAGTGGTTACCAGGGGCTGTGGAGAAGATGGGGAGTTATTATTCAATAGATATAAAATTTCAATAATATAAAATTATTAAGATCAAGAGATCTGCTGTACAACATTGTACCTATAGAATGATGGTTACCAGAGGCTGGGAAGGATAGTGGGGGAGTGGGGGGAGAAGGAGGAGTGGGGATGGCTAATGGGTACAAAAATGTAGTTCAATAGAATGAATAAGATGTAGTATTTGATAGCACAACAGGGTGACATCAACAATAATTTGTTGTCTAGTTTAAAAACAGCTAAAAGTATAATTGGATTGTTTGTAACACAAAGAAAGCATAAATAGTGGATACCCCATTTACCCTGATGTGATTATTATGCATGGTATGCCTGTATCAAAATATCTCATATACTCCATAAATATATAACCTACTGTGTACCCACAACAATTTTAAAAAATTTTTTCTTTTTAGTTTATTATTATTATTATTATTATTATTATTATTATTATTGTAGAGACAGGGTCTCGCTGTTGCCCAGGCTGGTCTCGAGCTCCTGGTTTCAAGCGATCCTCCTGCCTTGGTCTCCTAAAGTGCTGGGATTACAGTTGTGAGCTACCATGCCCGGCCAAAAATTAAAAATTAAAAAAAAACTACAAAAAAAAATATTGTGTGGTACACATAAAAATTTAAGAAGGTTAGAAAAAAGAAACAAGGAATCAGTCATGGGTCCCACGAAAGCTTAATTGAATGAGAATCTGCATTTTAACAAGATCCCCAGGTGTTTGGAATGCATATTCCAGTCTAAAATCACTAGCCTGAAAAGCACCAGTTAACAGGATGACTTTGGGATACTTTAATTTGCTCTGTAATCAGTCTGTAAGTGTAAGTAAGGGGGAGGCGGTGTATTTAATATTGTGTTAGATTGAATATCCTCTATATAGATCTATCATAGATATAATTATCTTAGAAAATGAAAGTGAGTCATTTTAATATAATTTCTGCCCTTATTTAAATCTATTAGTTTCCATAGCTCTTTGTAAAATCCTATAATTTTGATGATTTTAAAAAAAAAAATTGGAGGTCAGGGCAGAAATCAACAATGGAGATATAATTTAGGGCAGGGGTCCCCAACCCCCTAACCCCAGGGCCTGGTCCATGGCCTTTTAGGAACTGGGCTGCACAGCAGGAGGTGAGCAGCAGGCGAGCATTACTGCCTGAGCTCCGCCTACTGTCATATCAGCTGGGGCATTAGATTCTCATAGGAGCACAAACACTATTGCGAACTGCACATACAAGGGATCTAGGTTGTGTGCTCCTTATGAGAATCTAATGTCTGATCATCTGAGGTGGAACAGTTTCATGCTGAAACCACCCACCAAGCCCCAGTCTGTGGAAAAATTGTCTTCCATGAAACCAGCCAAGTCCTTGGTGCCAAAAGGTTAGGGACTGCTGATTTAGGGAGTCATCAGGGTGCAGAGACTATAAAAAGCCATAAAACTGGATGAGATCACAAATTGAATGAGTAAAAATAATGAATTTGTCTACAAACTCAACCCTTGAATATTCCAACATTAACGAAACAGGAATAGAAAAGAGAATTGGCAAAAGAGGCTGAGACAAAGCAACCAATGAGATAGGAGGAGAACCAGGAGAAAGGTGTGTGGGTGGATGAATGGGTAAGTGAGTGAGCAAACTAACAGACAAACTAAGCAAGTTTCATAAGCCCTCTGGGGATCAGTCTATTTGCCATTACTTTTAATAGCAAAAACCACAATTGTTTTTGCACCAACCTAATACAAAACAGGGATGAGAGTGATATTGCTACCTCCTTTGCAGGGTTACTGTGAAGATTATAAATAATGTATATATTGTGGGGTTACTGTGAAGATTATAAATAATGTATATATACCATCTGTTATAGCAACTAATGCATAGAAAGTACTCAAAAATTAATAGCCATTTTTATTATAAAATTAAACAACTAGAAAACATAAGTACAGTTTTTTTAATTAAATAAAGGTTGAGTGCCCTTATCTAGAAATCCAGAATGCTCCAAAATCTGCAACTTTTTGAGCACCAACATGATGCTCAAAAGAAATGGTCATTTTGGAGCATTTCTGATTTCAGATTTTAGGATTAAGGATGCTTAATCCATATGTATCTATAACACAGATATTTCAAAATCTCCCCAAAATAGAAGTCTGAAGCACTTCTGGTCCCAGGCATTCTGGATAAGATATACTCAACCTATACTGAAAATGTTGGAGGACTCAAGAGAAGGTAAAAATCGGTATGACTCAGGGTATTAGGGAAGTCTTTATGGAAGAGAAAGTTGACCTAAACTTCAAAATGGATTTTCATAGAGGCAAGTTGAGGCATTCCAGGTGCTGAGATGAACAAAAACTCGGAAATGCACTTGAGGATAGTGTGATGGTACAGTGAAGAGATGTTTCTGATCAAATGAAACCTCATCACAGGCATGAAATCACTTGAAGTCTGTTTTTTGTTGTTTAGTTTTACTTGGAAGCTAACCTTTTTTTTTTTTTTTTTTTTTTTCTCATACAATACAAACCCCTGTAGATATTATGAGACTGGCCAGTTTCATTGTAACATCTTCACTCCCTCTAGTAGCC